TGCTGTTTGTCCAGGGGGTCAAATACTTGTTTTTCCTCATCAGATGGTTATCAATTTTAATAAATTCATATGATGTGATTTTCTGGAATTTTCTTTGGGATTCTGTCTTTCACTGTTAGAATGTACATATGATTAAAATTATAGATCGTTGCATTCTTTGTAAGTGGGCAAACCTGCAAAATCAGCAAGGGGTCAAATACTTATTTCCCCCACTGTAATCCAGAGATGGAAAAACTGATCACAGTGTCAATTCATCCAGGTTAGTGGCTGCAGCTTCAAAAACACTCCAATCAGTACAGTCAAAGCAGACCTTTAAATCCAGCTTTGACTCGTTGGTCCATCTTTTCACACTCTTTACAACAGGTTTAGTAGATTTCAGTTTCTGCCTGTATGTCGGGATAAGATGAACCAGTGAGTCTGTCCTTAAGAGTCCCAGGGCTGCACGGGGGACAGAGCGATAGGCGTCCTTTAATGTTGTGTAGCAGTGGTCCAGTATGTTAGTGTTAATATACTGTCTGTACTACACCGTCATGGTTGAGGTTTGCTCTGTTGAAGTCCCTGAGAACAATGAGCATGGAGTCTGGATGTTTTTTGTCCACGTTAGTTATCTGGTCAGCCAGGTATAATAACACCTCACTAACACAGGCCTGAGGCGGAATGTAAACAGACACCAGAACAAAAGAGTTTATTCTGCAGTGAATAAAAATACAAACCTTAAAATTCGATTGATTGCACAGCCCTATAGGATATATGAAAAGTCGACTTTTCACACAAAGCAAGACTAATGTTTACTATCCGCCTGAAAACTCTACGTCACATTTGAAATTGACTGATGGTGCTATGAAATGCATTCAAAGCTCATAACAATACTAAAGAAGTGTATTCCGGATTGCCTTGACAGAAGATTGTTTATCTAAATTCTGAAAAGGATTGACATTACGGAATTAATTTGGTATCTTAGCTCATCATAAAGTGGCTAAGGCATACAATTACAGCAGCATTACTTGTGCTATTTTTCATTATTCCTAAATGGCTTCACAATAAGTAAGAAAGTAAAGGTCATCATACATATTGCAGCTCCGCATTCAGCTTATCCGGCTAATGTTTAGTATTATGGAATAATTACCTTTGGCTCCTTGTTGGAGTGTTTTTAGATAATACTGTGGTCTGCAGTGAACAATCATGCAGACCATTAAGACAAACCTTAGTAATAAAGCTTTTAAGCCACATCCTAATGGATAAGATTCCTGCAACCGTCAAGACATGTTTTAAAAACATATTCCAATCCACACTGACGTAGGCAGTTGAACAATAATGAACTCTACAACACACACAATCAATTACAAAAAGTGATGGCCTCATCCTTCAAAAGGCAGAGAGGAGAATGATCAAATTGTGTGAACTGATCTCCCCTGCAGTGACTCTATAAAACAATTAAATGAACAAAAGAAAGGGAACTCAAAGCAGACCTGATGGATGAGGCCAATAGACCAAAAAATCAAACCCCCACAGCTTTTAAAAACAGACTACACCGATAAACAAAAACAAGTGATGCCTCCCAACTTAGATAAGAACACCTCTGAATTCCCACATCAATTCTCCTGCTGCATTGCACATCTGCACTCCGCAGTATCTAATCCAAAGATTTTTAGGACTTGTAAACCACCCCCCCCCGAGACAGTTCAAAGGACCAGGGCAAAGTCACCTGACTTTATGTTTGTCTCTACAAAATCAAGATTAGAGAATCACTTGCCCCTACAGTACATCGATGTCTTCAAGACTCCAGATCAACCTATGAAAAATAACAAGCAGTGACAAGCCTTTTCTTCTAACTGGAACTGAAACTGACTGAATGTTGCCTCATACGTCTTGGCAGTAAGTTGGCAGCAACAACTGGGAGACTGAGGGCTGAGAATATGTGAATCAAGGCAGAGAAAATAGACAGGGTGCTGGGCAAATCATGCATTAGAAATGAGAAGTCACTCATTAATACATTTCCTGAGAGGTCACTATTGACTTAAGTTTATTACTGAACTAGTCACATAGAATGAACACTTAGGTGTAAGTTATACTTCTGCGTCGAATCGACGGCGTAGGTGACAGCGTAGGCTACGGTGCTACACAGAGGCTACGCCGTCTCCTGACATGCATCTCCTCAAAAATGTAACTACACGTTGAGTCGACGCAGACCGTAAGCACTGTGATTGGTCGGCTGGGTAGCCTCGCAATGCTTCCGAGCCGACTGGAAGTACCCCGCGCTTTGAAGTAACTTTTACTAGCGGCCAAAACTGCAACTGTAACACACTGAATCAATATATTTGACCATCGCAACCCCAGCGAAATGACTCGAATGTGATCCATTTGGTCTGTAACATTTGAAAAGGCTACATCAGCCGCACGTATACAATTTTATCCCCATTTACGTTAGCAGAGTGCTAAACCGGAAGTTAGCCTGCTCGGCCGGCAAAAGTCAACACAGTGGACGCTGTAGCGCTACTGCCGACTAGCGTTTGGGGGTGTAATTGCAGAATGACGGACACACCTACGCACAAGTATAAATGCATGGCTACCTGCATAGCCTACGGCGGAGGTACGCAAGTAGACCCTACGTAGGAGTATAAATGGGCCTTTAGTTAGGCAGTGGAGCCTAATCTGCATGCAAGGCTGTTGAAACGTCAGAGGTAAATATGTGATCAGAAACAACTCTCACCACTCAATGGGATATGGTAATTATTTCAATACAGCATGTTTAAAGACTTATAGGCAGAGCATTCAAACATGATGGTATAAATGAAACAGACCAAGCAAACACAGGTAGGAAAAGCCCTCACCATGACCCAAAGTGATCGATCACACAATTGCAGACTTCCACCTCCATGAGCAAAAGGGTTTATTCTCAAGAGGGCTGATAAAAAGACAATGTTCAACAGCTGTTTCCCATTTTCCAGTATTTTTCAGGTCAATAAAGATTAACCTAATAATTACTGTACCATCTGTTCATGGGTTACTAATGAAGGAACACTTACAAAACTTACAATAACAATAGAAAATTACAAGCATTACAATTATTTTATGATATGTTACATGCCAGGGAGGTTCAAGCAAGCAATTTGACTGGAGACATGCATGACTGATAGCTGCACCTTATCTGTTTCCATGACAGCAGTAATAAACAGTAGGCAGAATGAGAGTTTGCAGAACCGTTTTCAGACAGTCTGTATTCGTTTAACACCCATTATGGCTGGGTACTTTGGTGATGCTGCTGTGTTTAGATACATCTTGTACCTTTTGCATAACCAGCAACATCATCTCAGATTTATAACTAGACTAACTATAATTCTAAATTATAATGTGCTTATGATGCATTATACTGCATTCGATATGTGTTATGAGCAACACATTGAATTTGGTAACGGACATTATTCTTTGGTTATATACAAAAAACAAGTTAAAAACAGTTATTGGTTGAGAAACATGGCTCTGAGTATTGATGACCATTACTAACAGTGAAATGACCAAATAACTTTAACTGTGGATCAAAGGTTTTTAGGCTCAGTTTTATGTGAAAACGTAACATAGCGTAACATTGATTCCCAATAGAAATGATTAACAATATATCCAATTCAGCTGGATCACTTGTAATTCTGCCCGAGACAATAAATTGTCATGCATTCACTGGAATCCATCTGTGATTTTTACAATCCAATCTTTGCAAACATGTAATTTATGCTCTTATACTTCAGACTTTGCCAGTTTTTCATTCATCACAGCTGACATCTCCCATGAGCAGAATATGGGCGGGAAACCAAACCACTGCTATCTCTGTATGAAATATGAACAATTTCACAATTTAAATGTGCGAAAGGGTTTTGGCAGAGTGCTGATGGCATGCGCACATGTGCATACAAATGTAACTTGCACCACGTTCGGCATAAGTGAAATGATGTGGTTGAAGATAGCGGCACCAAGCTTTTCAGTCAATATCCCTGCCGCCTCTGAGGCTAGGGACCATTAGGACCAGTGAGCCAAGTAAAGTGACTCTGATGTGAAATGACAGGGGCATTCACAGAAGCTGTCCTACCGTTTCCCTCATTGTCATTCACACACACAGCCGCACGACATTGCAGCTACCCTCACTAGGCGACTAAGTACTATCATACTGTTGCTTTGTTTTTAAAAATGTATTGATTCATTAGTTCAGCAGAGCAATGAAGCCTCTCAGTTCCTAAAATATGTCAATATTTTCCAGGTCTTGTCATCATCCTAATCAGCCAATTGCTGTGTGAGGTATGAAGACTGTCTCTGATGCTTTGAAGTATCCCATGAATTATACTGACAATCTACATACATAATGAATGACAACTGACAATAAATAGTCCAGAAATGCCTGGAAAGTGCACTGTGTAGACAATATTCTTACATAACTTAGCTTTTTCAAACTGTTGCTTTAATAAGAACATCTATACTGCAACAAGAGCACATATTGTAGGTCTTTCAAATGGGCGTTGCCTCATGTGACTAATCACCATGTCCTTTGTATGCTGTTGCACAATGTGGTTGAATGATGATCATGATAGGGCATGGCTGGTGATATAGGCTACAGCTTTCCAAGACTTAGGCCTCCTGCAAAGTAATCCCTCCTTAAACTCAAGTTTCACACCTTTTTGCATAAGATTTAATGTGCCATCACACAGCTGGAGTGATCATTAACTTTGAGTTAATTATGAACTGACTCAAAGTCTCAAAGCGGGAAATATCTTGCTTTTACAAGAAACACCATTTTGTTTATGTCTAAAAACCTTGCTAATAATCATATAACCACTGCCATGTGGATCCGGCAGCTTAATATTTATCACTGTTGCTTGTTTACCTGCAGACCTATTATGCTAAGTAAGCACAACAAGCAGACGGGGGTGGGGTTCTTCTGCACTCTAACAAAACTTTTTTTATTTTCGGCGTACTGAATCATGCTGTGGAATATAATGATGATACGTCCCTACCTCTCTCCTCCTGCTCTCTGCCCCGGGTCTGGTGATAAGCGCCGTGTCACCACACACCACGGCCGCGTCCTCCACGAACACGCAGTCCGGGAGCGACTCGTCCGCGGGGAGCTCGACCACCTCCAGCCCGAGCCTTGTCCCCAGGACCTCGACGTACGCCTCGTGCTCCCTCTGCGCCTTGGCCAGGTCCACGTCCGACTGGCTGCTCCGGAGCGCTTCTTTGGTCAGGGACGCAGGGATTCCCCGGACGACGGCGTGGGTGTAATGACCAAAACCTGCCATTAAACCAGCCATGTTTAGCTTTCCCTTTACTTGGCACGCTCAAATCTGGAAAAAAAAAGGACTGAAAAACACCCAAACAGACAACTCAGCGAATGAATGAGAGAAACTGCTATCAGTTATCCCGATGCTGCCTGGCTTGCATATGTGTTCCCTGTTAGTTTGTTGGGTTTTTATTCTTTATTTACAGTAGCCTGCACACACAGTGTCAGTCAGCCCTGCTCCTGTCTCCAGGCGAGCGACGGCGCTTCGATGACGCGCACCGACCATCACGTGTAGCGTACGAGACTGTCAGCCTTTAGTGAGGCGTTCAGCCCAGTGACAGTCTGAAACAACATATGGCTCAATCAATTCCATTCTGAACCAGCAAAGCACAGCCTGCAAGCCAAACTCTTTCGTGCATTAAAAGTCTAAGAATATAGAATAGTTCCTCATGTAACACATCCCAGATTATTTCGCAATATTTATAGGAATTACCTGGGGTAATTAGTTGATTTATAGATTAGTCAAATCAACAGAAAATAATCTGTAAATATTTTTATGGATTAATCGTAATTTCTCAAGCAAAAATGCAAAACTCGACCTTGTTCTGCTTCTCAGTTTAAACTATTCACTGTTTTTTTGTCTTATGTGATAGACTAATAAACAGAAAATCCTTGGGTATTGGACTGTTGGTTGGATAAAACAAGCAATTTGGAAACATCATGGTGAGCTTTAGGAAACTGTGGCCAGCATTATTTATATATTTTCTGTTTTAATGATTGTTAAAACGATTAATCAGAGAAATATGAATTGGTACAATCACAGTGATTGTAGGCATTTGTGTTTCTATCCAAGCACTGATGACTGTATTTGGACCATTCCTCCGGTACATTTTGCTGCATAATAGTGAGAAATTATATATGGTGGGTTCTGGAATTATGTCACTTTGACTTAAGATGACTGATATCAAGAACATAAGAAATCATTTGTTAAGAATATGAGACACATGGATGCAGATCATTCCTACATGTTCTGGTCATGTGAAAAGATGAACATTTTAGGAAAATATATGAGGTTATATTTTAGGTTCTATTGTGATGTGATAATAGTAGTAAAAATGAAGCAACTTGTCTCCATGTTGACTTTTACTGGTTCCCTGTAAAAAGGACAGTGAACCACTGCTGGGAACTCCTTGACTTAAACAATGAATGGGCATATATTATTATATATTATATATTTGTAGTGGAAATTTTAGGGGAAATTGATCTTTACTGAAAAAAATACAAGTACAATACAAATACATGTTAATGTATCTGGATCTGCATAAAACTAAGGCCAGAAAGACAGTAGGGTAAGAAATGTATACCTTATTTGATTCCCATGCTTTGTTGATGCTTTTATAAAATTTTGTTTCAACAGTTACAAATAAAAAGCAAGAAAGAAAGAGCACCGGATTTGCAGACATACAAGTATGTAACTGCTTCACTCCTGGCAGACTTTATGAAACAATGTACACAAACTTCAAGGGCAAAGAACATATATCAAGGAGGATCTCTGCTTGTCCTGCAGTGTGAGAAGCCTAGGGTAAGAAGAGCGTCAAAGGAAGAGCTTTGTTAGTAAGTGTGTTTGGGAGGAGGAAGGGAGGTTGTGGGGGCGATATTCCCTATGGTGCCATCTAAGGAAGGCTCTGGACCCGGTGAAGCTGTCTGAATAGATGGAATGTTTCTTCAGACGTCCCAGAAACACATTCTTCCACTGCAGGACCTCAGTTTGTCTATTCTTGTTCCAAATTCACTCAATTATTTCCAACTGCTCTAAACATTGCAGGAGCCCCACATTCCTTTTTCCACTCCAGCCAGGATCACCAACCACTGCCCTCCTCCCAACACTAACACCTGCCCACACCCAGACTTTTTTCCCCAATCATTCCTCATCATGGATGGACGTGGCCAAAGAAAAGACCTCTCTCTTTCTCTTTTCTCTCCGTGCTGAGGAATTTGGGTTACTTTAGATGAAGGAAAGCCCTCATACTTCAGGCACACCTGGCTGGTACATTGTGCAGCTATAAAAGAAATGACTGAAAGCAGACACGATCCTCCAGCTGCGAAAGAAGTAGGCACAGAAAGCAGCACTTCTTATTTGTCTGGTATGATTGGACTCACGATGAGATCCTAGATGTCTAAAGTGACACAGACATGCGTGATTACACAGGTGCACAGACTCTAACTCTAAGCAGTCAGGCACATTTATGAACCCAATTACCACAGAACGTAAAGTGATGAAATGACATGAGATGAAATGATGCAACTGATGTTTCTAGGTGGAACTAATTGTATCTGGAGGCATTTCAACAACAGCTACAATTGGGTCCAAAGATGTTCTTCAGCTAAGAAACTTAGTTTCTCTGCATTCAACAGCAATAGACAAGACATGTTTCAGAGAGACATCACCATGTAGGGATATCAAGTATTGAGAGATGGACTAACACATTATTTTTGGTGTTATCATGGGATTTGTTAATTATAACTAAATATAAAATATTTCCATCCATATCCTTTATTAAGTATTGTATTTATAAAGGAAGTATCTGAAACTGTGCAATCCAAAAAAGCTGATGACAACACCTGATCACTCAATAACTCCTGGAATGCACTGAGTACCACAGATTGATAATATTGCATCAGAGTATTCGAAAGAGAATTTTACCTGATGAAGATATCTTTATTATAACCAATTTAGACAAAAATGGCAAGCGTGTTTCCACACAATCATAGCTGGTGATTACATTTTTGACAAAGAGGAGGTTCCTCTTTTGTAATTTTTTGATAAAGCTGTAGATTACTCTGATTTGTACACTAAGGGATTAATATGTGAATTTTAACTTACCGTATTTTATTAATATTCCCCTCCAGACTGTCAGGTTTGCACCCCAACAGCTGATTAGAGTCTATCTCAAAAATATATCAAGTCTGAAACTAAGAAGAGACTAGATATGCAATCTAGCTTACATAGCAAACAGATCTGCATCAACATAAGATTTGTCAGAGATTTTAGAACCATTCAAAAATGGCCACATGGAGGAATATACACTTTTACTTTTACTAAATTCATCCATTACCACACAGTGAGTGTTTTAAAGATGATGTGTGTAGTCAAGAATGCAAAATAAGGAATATTATTTTCTTGTTTTAGCCAACACACAAGTACATTTGCTTGCACAAGAACTACAAGTTCTAGCTACTAACTTCTTCACTGGCACTGGCATGTTAAATAGAATATCTTAATTAATTGCACCTTTTCCAAGACATTTTGCTGCACAAGCATGCAAAAAACACCTTTACCTTCATTGTGTTAGCCACATCCCAGCTCAGGGATAACTACAATCCTATTGAACAGACGCACAATGAAAGTATATCAAAATATCCTGAACACCACGAGAGACACTAACAGGAGATATGCCATAGCCATGTACTAGATGTATGCACAAGTTCACAGACCGAGATGGACTGCTGGTAGAATATGTCTGACTTCTTTGGAATTGTTTCCAAAGTAAAAATATGCACCCTGCAGCTTTAGGCAGAAACTGCCCCAAAATAATCTTGGAGGAAGAAATTACACAATACCAAATCTGAAGAAACAACAAGGTTATGAAATAGCCATCCTCCCTCAAGGCCTTTTCATTTATGTCAAGATAACAAAGACACAATGGCAGAACACATCGACTGCACCTTTTTACCCCTTTAAAGAATAAGCTAAACTTGCTGACAAAAGATGCATAAACAACTCCTGTGAAATTCATGCAGAGTTGGTCTTCCCACAGCCTTTTTAGATCCATATTCCTTCAGAACTTGACTCAGTAATTTAATCCTTGGCCTCATCTCTGCCCTCATTCACACAAGAACGACCCATAACTCAGCAGACTTCCTGCTGCTCCATGAGCTGACAGAGAAAGGAAGTGTTGCTAGTACACACTGCATACGAGTTATGACATTTATCTTGAATATACTACAATGGAATCTGTTGTTTAAACATGTCGGACTATCCTGTTCTTTTCCATCTGTCACATAGACATAAATGGGGAGGCTGAGGGCTCCTCACCACAGATTTCCTGAGAACCGACAGTGAGGACTGCTGGCTCTTCAACTGTGAGTGCTCCTGGTGAGATCTGACAATGGGTTTCCATTACATTGAGCCGCAGCACACAATCTCTCAAACTCTGGTGAACAGTGAAATCACTTAAGCATCCCAGCTGGATGCTGTGGAGCTACTCAGATAACCGTGCTACAGAGCTGTGAGCATAACCCAGCGATAATTTCTGGGAAGGAGAGAGACCCCATCCTCTGGGGGGCATAAGGAGTGTGCACTTTATGTTGTATGTGTGGGGTGATAGGGCAGCCATAGTGGAAATAATTATGCCAGGGCAATTGCAACACAGAGATGAGTGTGCAGCTTTTGGAATATTACCTGAACTGAATGGATAATTAAGGAATGAAGATTACTGTAATATTATTCTCCGTTGACGTACAATGACAACACTGTTTCCTATCACTGTAACACATGAGCGGATGCACACATGCAGCCATACACATAGACTCACATAAAGTATGCACATACACACTTGAGAGACTTTAGTTCAACATAGCAGAGGACAGTCAAACAAAACATGACATTACAGTATACCATTGCTGCCTGGTAAAAGCCCATGTCTTTCAAACTCTATGGCCACATTTGTCACTCAGGCTTTCTGTTAAAGACATTTTGTCTCCAAGCCCAAACTGAGATGATCATATAATCAGGGTTACTTTGTAAAGGTCCCAGAGTCATAAAGTACATTTTACAACTGTTTTCACAGGCTGAGTTGTTGATGTTGACGTCTGTGACAGGCAAATGGACACACACATAATATAGCATAATACAGCTTGGAAATACGAAATACACACAAGAAACCATTGCACATGTGTGCTCACACAGACACACCCCCTATCCAAATACGCTGAACACACCTCCAGTCCAAATACTCGATACAGGCTGCATGGATCTGTTCACAATGTAATCATATTAATATCATATCTGATGTATGCAGTGTTTAGTGACATTTGTCATTAAAAACAACTATAACTCACAACCCAAGCCCAGACAGCCAGCCTGCAGAGACCTACAGCCAAGATTACTTTAAGTTTCAAAAAGCTTCAGTGTCACATCGGGTACAAAGAGACCCACAAAAAAGAAAAAGAAAAAGAAACACTAACCGGAGTTATTTACTTTTGCTGAATGAACAGAATCTTTTAATAATAAATTTTAGCTTCTATTACTC